GAAAGCTGGATGTTTGGGGAATGTAGAAGTTATTTAATCATTGTTGTAGTTTCATCCGTTTTATCTGTAATTCGAAAATTAAGTAATGAAAAAAACGATTTTTTTTTGCAATTTAAAATACAATGTTTTTAACAAGCAATTACGTATCTATTTATAAACTTCTAATTGTAAACTTTTCAAGTACTCTCTGTGCGAAACTTCCGGCTTCGCGTTGAGAATCGGATGTCAACCTAAAATCGAATGCAATCGGTTCCTTCACCCAACGTGTTTCTCTTTCGCTTATTACGACTCATTTCTGCTTCGATCTGTTCTCTTCATTCTGAAGTGACCGTCTTAACTAGAGCGTGACAATTTGTCAGTTCCGAACGCGCACATACAGGACGAAATCTCGGGCGGCGAGAAAGAGAATTTACAAACAACAAAACAAAAGAACGAAAAAGCAATGCATGTGAGATTGTGCATTGCATAATTTCGATAGTTTTTCGCATGAGGGGAGAATTTGAACGCACTTTTGTTATGTTTTTTTGTAGAGGGTTTTCTTAATTAACGAGATCGGCCTTCTCGGATCGGCTTTCCCTTTTTAAACTCCATCCTTCCTTTCCACGTTTATAGAGTGCCTTATTGAATCGTGATCAATCATTGCCGGACAAAAAGGCATGACATCATTACGTTTCTTTCGCCTCAGTTTTTTTCCTCTCTCCAGTTCTTTTGTAAATCATACAACAATCGGGTGTGTTTTGTAAGAAAAACTAATTTAAGCTTAAATCCGACTCCCCCAGAGCCTACTTTTACTTCGCGTAAATCTAATCACTCGGTAAGACCTTGGCTCACTTAAGTCACAAGAAAAATCTACGTTGAAAGTAGTTCATTTCTTCATTAATTGAATTACTTAATTATTATTAATACACACAAAACTAATTATTATTATAATTATTTGTAGAAATTTTATTATTTTGCTTTAGAAATTGCAGGAAGTGATGAATTCAAAATGTGAACGTTGTGTTTAATTTTCGTTGCACTTCCGAATTCACTTACATTAACTTCCTAAGTTATTTACACTAATTAAGAGAAACTTAACTATACTTATAACACGCTCTTCTCTGTATACTTTATTAAAAAAAACAATAACAATTATTAAGTAAAGTCATAAAATTGAATAAATGAAAGTTCAATTAATGAAGGGTGTCCCAAAATTAACGCAAGATTTGAATTTGCCGCCATTTGTTCAATAAAGTGTCAATTAACAACGCAAAATTGTTATAATTATCAAACCATGATTAACATTATAAACGATCATTAATTACAATTATTATATCATAATTACAAATCCATTTCAGTTATCCTAATTCAATTACAATCAAACAATTAAACAATTCATTTTGTTTACTAAATTATATAAAATACATTTAAAAAAGTGATTTTAATTCTAAAAAAGTAAACTTTGATGCTTGAATTATGTAATACAATTTGTGATTAATTTCACTACTTTTTTTTTAATAATTTCTTTTGCATGACATTACTACACATGTCTATATAATAAATTTACTTTCTTATTAAATAATAAGTTTTATTAAAAGAAACGTAGAGGTTTCAACAGTTTTAGTTTTGTTGTTCAAATTGTTGTTCAATTTTTTAACAATTTCATAATTCAATGTTCATAGCCGACTTTCATATTGAGAAAAACAAAAGAAATATGTAAAAAATACATGTATTTCAATTTACTATTGTTTATGTAAATAGTAATAATCTTGCTTGATCATTATTTTGAAGATGTTCAAAGACGTTTTGGATCTATCCATTAATTAATTAAATCTGCAATTTTTCTTTCAATTTCATTCAAAATAAACAAGGAAATAAGCAAAGACATAAGCTAAATATTTGAAAGTTTCTGATTTTTCATATTTATGTTCTAAATTTTTACTTAAAACATCTTTTCAATAGAATAAAAAATGACAAAGTTTAGGTTTTTAAAAGTTTAAAATATAAATTAACAATTTTCAATGTATTTGTTACATTTATCTTCGAGAAAAAACTGTTAAACGATTAAGTAATTCCTGCAGCGTTCGGAATTTTTACCGCATTTTATTTATACAATTCACCACCAAAGTTTTTTCTCTTATTCCACACACACAAAAAAAAAACAAACTTAAAAACCAACCAGGAAATTTAACTCTCGCTTATTTTCTTCTTCTTAATTTTATTTTTATAATATTATAATTTTAATTTCAACGCATTGTGCAAAAGAAAAGAAAAACTCAATCGGTTTTAATTACGGTCCTGCTTTTTTTTTCTTTCTTGCAGCGATGTTAATTAATTGGTTCGAGGAATAAATTTCGCGCTGAAAAAGACTGAAAAACCACGTCTTTTCCACTCTTCTCCTAATTAAAATCCTCATCTTTTCTTTCTTCTTCACCGGATAAAAAAAAATAACGAAGAAGTTCATCTCCTTTGTTGTGAAATTCATTATTTCACGCTGACATTGATTCACGAAAGTTTTATTTGTTTAATTATATTGCTTATTTTCCAAACTTTTAATTCATTTTTATTGAATTTTAACGTTTGCTTTGATAATAATTCGTTTATTTCATTTCATCATTACATCACGTCAACTGGGAAAAGCAGAAAACAATAGGAATCGAACGTGCTGTGATTTATGAATTTGTTTTTTTTTCGTTACTTAACCATAAACGCGTTAAAGAAAATGTAATCAAGTGAGGCTTTGCCACAAAGTGAAATGAACAACAACTTAACTCGTAACACGTTTAATAAATTCGTATCAATTGTTTCATAACCTTAAATTATATATGTTATTAAAGCTATGCAAACTTTTTAATTTTTTTTTGGCAATTGTTTGTCTTTTATTTTTAGGTTACAAATTAAAAATATAATTTATTAAAAAAGCAAAGAAATAATTGCCTAATAAAGATTTCGACGTTTTCTTTAGAATGTTGTAGAGTGCTTTGAAAAACAAATGAGAAACGACGGAAGGAAGTGTTACGTATTCATTTTATTTTTTTATTTTTATTTTCTATTAAAACTGTTTATTGAGGAAGTGACGGATTCGCGAGGATTTATTCGATGTGCGGAAAAGTGGAAATTGTAGAAATTGTTATGTAAGTTTTTCTTCTATTATTTTGTTGCTTTTGTTCTTTTTTTTTCGAGAAAACAAAAAAAAGAGCGTAGAAATGTGAATCGCAGTGAGCAGTGGCCGTGTCACACGCCATTAATCGTTGTTTATGACGTTTCGGTGCGTTCGTTTGGAGATAATGGAAAATCGGGCGCGATTTTCTGCTCCTGCAGAAATTCTTCGAATTAGTTTCTAAAAAAAAAACTATTCCTGTTTAGTTTCTAATAGTTAAATTATACAACATTTCTTATTTGTTGAACTGCAAACATTTTCAATAATATTTAGTAAAAATTTTAAATAAATGAATCTTGATATTTTTAAATAGACTTAATGTTTGTTAATTGATGTAATTTTTTGGTCCAAATATGAAAATTAAAAGATGATTTAAACTAGTTCTTCAATAATATTTAGTAAAAATTTTAAATAAATGAATCTTTTTTTTTTGAAATTTTTAAACAGACTTAATGTTTGTTAATTGATGCAATTTTTTGGTCCAAATATGAAAATTAAAAGATGATTTAAACTAGTTTACAATAATATTTAGTAAAAATTTTAAATAAATTAATCATTATTTTTTTTGAAATTTTTAAATAGACTTAATGTTTGTTAATTGATGCAATTTTTGGACCAAATATGAAAATTAAAAGATTATTTAAACTAGTTTTTCAATAATATTTAGTAAAAATTTTAAATAAATGAATCTTTTTTTTTTTGAAATTTTTAAATAGACTTAATGTTTGTTAATTGATGCAATTTTTTGGTCCAAATATGAAAATTAAAAGATGATTTAAACTAGTTTTTCAATAATATTTAGTAAATTTTTTAAATAAATGAATCTTTTTTTTTTTGAAATTTTTAAATAGACTTAATGTTTGTTAATTGATGCAATTTTTGGTCGAAATATGAAAATTAAATGATGATTTAAACTAGTTTTTGTTGTTAATGAGATTCGAATTATCTTTAGACTAGATTTTAGTCAATTTTGGATTTGTAAAAATGAAAATTGTTTGTTTTTTTTATAAGGTATTTATTTTAACTGCAAACATAATACACAACATAATAATATTATACAAAATAACATTTAACGTTTCTGAGGTGGAGCGGATCAATGGTGATGCTGATAGGAAACCTTGGCCTGGAAGCCCAACTTCTTGTCGGAGGTGTAGTCGACGCGACGCACGGTCTTACCGTCAGGTTCCACCAAACTGTAGGATCCCTTTACTTTGTATCCGTCGCGTTCCTCGTGCTTGCTCTTGAAGTCGTGGTGTTTATCATCGGCTACCTTGAATCCGTAATGGTATTGGGGATGCGCCTACAAACAACAACAACAACAATTAGATAATGCAATTAGATAAACGAATTTGAAATTGGTTACCTTGAAATGGACTTCTTCGTCCTTGCCGTCGTGACGCTCCTGGTTGGCGTAGGAAGTGGCGTGTCCGTGTCCATGACCACCGCCGCCTCCTCCTCCTCCTCCTCCACCACCTCCATGGTGACCGCCGCCGCCTCCCACGTTATGATGGATGCTCACACCGTGTCCACCGCCGTGTCCGCCACCGCCGCCTTCACCGCCATGTCCGTACTGGGGAACAGCTGCCGCCAAGGCAATGAAAACCGCCAAAATCTAGAAGCACAAAACGAAAACAAAATAGAATCAAGTGAAACCATGGCAATTCTCTTCCCGCTCGATTCAAAAGCGAGTTTCCATTTAATTACAATATGTGTAACATTCACTTTTTGTGCGTTACCCGAGTGTGTGCATGCATAGAAAGTACTTATGTAAATCCTGCTGCTGCATTTCGTCCCACATTGCCGGATAAGGCCGTTGTTTCGGGCCCAATTAAACTTAGACCGCGTTACGCAACTTCGATTGCTCCTCTCAGATTAATTGCAATTCCGAAAAACACTGTTATTTATTCATTCACTATTCAATTACAATCGTGATATAGTTATTAAAGTCAGATTGATATAATAATATTAAGAAACGAATGTTGATTGACAATTTTTAATTATATATGACAAATGGAACAAAGAAATAAGACAAAAGAGAGACGATTGAAAGTGAATGCTTTTCATTTTGTTTTTTTTGGCAATATCCGAAATACATTAATTATTAGATTTGTAGTCGAGTGAATTGCAACAATTCGCGTTTCGCAATCTCACCGAATATTGAGGCCACAAGAAATTGTAATTGAAATTTTCAGTGAATTCAAAAAGAAATTAATGATTAAAATCAAAGATATTATTATTGTTGTTGTTTTTTTTGTGTGTGAAATGAAATTTAAACGATTGTAGTGTGAATATGAAGTCGTGCAGATATAACGAATTGATTGTGTTAAGCGTTTTAATCGTTAAAAAGGAAAGCGTGAATTTCTATTTACAATTAGCGTTTATCAATAGTTGTAGGAGTGATTGAGCGTGAACGCACTTTGTATGCAAATGCGTTTTTGCATAACTTGAAGAGTGTTCAATTTCCGATTTTCATTTTGGTTATAAATAGTAAAAGAAAATGATTTTGACACAAGAGTTGTTAAATTTTCTTTTGATTTTGACAGAAGAGTTGTCATAATTTTTGTTTTGTTGCCTTAGTAACAAAGTATTGTTTAATTGATTATATTTATTGAATTGAGTAAAGTTATTGAATTGATTTATGTAATTTGAATGTATACTTACAATGATGGGCTGCATACTGGAGGTGATACTAATCTGGATGTAGTAGTAGTAGTTGTAGTTGTTGAGGTGGTTGGAAGCGAATGCTAACTGATAACAGCTTTTCAGCGAAATTCCCTTTTATACTCTCGATCGGTGGTGAATTTTTATGAAAGTTTCGAACCGATAATATATTATGAATTCGCATACGTTCGCAAATATTTATATAAATGCTAATTCGAGTTCTAATTGGACGTGTTTTATATAATCATGCAACTAACGTGCGACCCGAATCGAGATTTTTTTTTCTTTATATTCTGTATAATTACAACGTTAACTTTATTTTTTTTCAGAACGCATTAGAGAACTACACCTTCCTTCCATTCAGCGTGTTCCTGGCGATCTTCTGGATCTTCACGTACAAGAAGGTGCCCGAAACGAAGAACAAGACCTTCGAGGAGATCTTGGCCCTCTTCAGGCACGGCAACGGAAGGTAAGTGGAAAGAGAGATTAAGCGAAAAAAAAAATAATATTAATATTAAATTCGCCCTAATAACAACAAAGAAAAACCTAAACTAAAACACGGAATAACAACGATAGCAATTGTTACGCAACCGTAACTAAGGGGCGGGATTTTCAAAAGAAAATAAAATGCGATCGAAACGTAACTAAACCAGACAAATAAAAAAAAAGAAAAAAGTGTTTTGTGTGTGTGTAAATGTATACACCATCATCCATTTAGGAGTATGATTTCCTTGGAAACGCCCTTGATTTTCTAATAATTTCATTTGTTTATCGTCAAGGGCATTTCCTTGACAGCAGCGATTTTTTTGGTTCTTCTCCATATACATAATTCGCATAATTCTCTTTTCCGTTCTCGTCTCTTGCGTTCCCTGACTTTTCTTTCTTTTTTTTCTCTTATATTCTTTTCACCTTTCTTCACTTTTACTCTTTTTTTTGTCATCAATTTTAATCGAAATTATTCGGCAGGAACAGTTTTCGGGATAGCAGATTGTACGGGTGAGTGTCTCCCTGCACGTGTGTGTTTCTCTCCCTGTCTCTCTCTCTGTGTGTCTCTTCTCCCCCAGCGGATTTTCCACACGCAACGAGCATTTATTTATTCCTCTGTCATTATTTTTTTATCGTTTCGTTCAACAATCATCATGTTATATAACATGAGAGCATGCGGTGTGTGTATTTGTTTTTTTTTTTTTGTTTTCGCTGTCTGCTTGTCGTTTGTTTCTGTTGCGCTCTTTGATTGGCTACAATATCATTCGAAAACACACGAGATCTTCGATATTCTTTCTTCTTCACGTAACATGATTGAACAGTTGAAGAAGAAGAAAACGAATCATCATCCAAACACGATCCCAACAAATCTTACTTTTTTTTTTTTTCTTAATTTCATGATAACTTTGAGGCGAACAAATGAAATATACAGAATAACAATTTAACGCAACTTTCGGTCAGTAGTGCATGCGGTTCTTTCTTCTCTCTATTTTCTTTTAGTTATCTCATCTTTTAGTTTATTTTTATTCTCTCTGAGTAAGACGAGATCCTTTCCGTACGAGGCAACATCCCTTCGCTCCACTACCCTTCTTTAAAAATAAAAACAAAAGTTCCATACTTTTTGTTTTCAATACCCTAGCAACCCCATTTGTTTCTTTTTTTATTCGATGTGCAATTTTTCTGAAAAACAATAACTTTTGTTTCAGTTTTTTGTACGGTTTTTCTTTATGAAATCACATTTACTAATACTAGTTAACTAATTATTGAAGAAAAAATGTTTATTTTAAAAGTACTTTCAAACACTAACTCGATATTCGTGTGAACACGCTTCTACGCTCATTATTATTAAGAGTTGAACTACTTTTTTTTTTGTTTTCGACGATTACATTTGCATTAAATTCCATTATTTCGAATCTCATTTATAAATCTTTAAACTTTTCTTTTTACATATAATAATTTCCTTAGTTTCACATTTGAACTACTTTTAATCTTATCTTTGCAGATCGAATATGCAAATAATTACTAAGATTTCTACTAAAATTAAAGTATTTTTGCAATTGGCAATTATTCAATTACAATTTTTGATTTAGTTTGAGAAAAATTTAAAGAGAATTGAACTAATATCAAAGTATTTTACTAATTAGAACTACTTTTAAGGAAAACTTTAAAGTAGTTTTATTGTTATTTATATATTCGTCTACATGCTAATTACTAATACTTTTTGAAATTTTAAAACTACTTTTAAGGAAAACTTTGAAGGTTGTGAAAAAACATCATTTGCTAATTACTAATTTTTGATTAATATTGAATGATAAATTG